AGACCAAAACCGGCAGTGACAAAATATTCGTATATTCTGTTTTTTTTAGACCACAGAGATGACCAAGAACATTTTGGCCCTTGGTCATCTCTATGGTTAAAAAAAAAAAAAAAAAAAAAAAAAAAAAAAAAAAGGTATTGGGTTCATGACAGTATAGTTACTCAAACCCAAGGATGTATGGGTATGTCCTATGGGCGGGAAGCAGGAAAGGCTACTTGCACGCCCTATGAGTTTGGCGTTCTGATGCTGCGGCCGCGTGTTATTGTACAAACACGTGGGGTGTGTATGTGGCATTCAAAGTGGTTGTAAAGGTAATTGTTTTAATTAAAACAATAAACATGTTATACTTACCTGCCCTGTGTAATAATAATGCACAGAGAGGCCCCAATCCTCCTCCCCAACAACGCTCCTAGCTTCTGCTCTTCTAGGGTTCCCCACAGATGCTCCTACTCTGGCGTCCCCTGCTGGCGCTCCAAGCTCCTCCTCTTCTGGAGTCCGCCACCGATGCTCCGGGCTCTTCCTTCTGGGGTATGCCACCGATGCTCCTAGCTCTTCCTCTTCTCAGACCCTCACCCGGCACTCCTAGCTCCACCTCTTCTGAGGTCTTGCCCCGGTGCTCCTAGCTGCTACTCTTTTGGTGCCCCCAACCGTGCTCCCAGCTCCTCTTCCGAAGTCCCCCACTGGAGCTCCTAGCTCCTCCTCAGGTCCTCCACCGGCACTCCAAGCTACTCCTCTTCTCGGGTCTTCCACCGGCGCACCTAGCTCACCTCTTCTCAGGTCCTCCACCGGCGCTCCAAGCTACTCCTCTTCTCGAGTCCTCCACCGGCGCTCCTCCTCTTCTCAGGTCCTCCACCGGCGCTCCAAGCTACTCCTCTTCTCAGGTCCTCCACCGGCGCTCCAAGCTACTCCTCTTCTCGGGTCCTCCACTGGCACTCCTAGCTCCTCCTCTTCTCAGGTCCTCCACCGGCGCTCCAAGCTACTCTTCTTCTCAGGCCCCCTACAGGCGCTCCAAGCTACTCCTTTTCTCGGGTCCTCCACCGGCACTCCTAGCTCCACCTCTTCTCAGGACCCCACAGATGCTCCTCCTCTTCTCAGGTCCCCCACTGGTGCTCCTAGCTCCACCTCTTCTCAGGACCTCACTGGCACTCCTAGCTCCTCCTCTTCTCAGGTCCTCTACCGGCATCCCAAGCTACTCCTCTTCTCGGGTCTTCCACCAGCGCTCCTAGCTCCACCTCTTCTCAGGACCCCACTGGCACGCCTTGCTCCTCCTCTTCTCAGGACCCCAACCAGTGCTCGTAGCTTCTCCTCTTCTAAGGACCCCACAGACCCTCCTAGCAGCTCCTCCTCTTCTCAGGTCCCCCACTGGTGCTCCTAGCTCCTCCTCTTCTTAGGTTCCTTACAAGTGCTCCTAGCTCCTCCTCTTCTTAGGTCCCCTACCAGCTCCTCCTCTTCTGCATCTGCCACCATAGTAACCAGTTGCTATAAGGGTAGATGTGCGGGCTGTGTGCATCCGTAGACACACAGAACCTCCTACAAACTTTGAACATTGATGCTTTCCTTGTATATATGGTCAGAGCGACAGCAAGCGTGCGCACCATCAGATCTCCAAGATGGTCAGTCAGTCATGAGAAAGATTTTCTCTGAAGACTGATATATATCATCTGTACAACATCCGGGAATAAAGGGTGGGTGTGAGTACAGCAACCCCCCCTAGATCTGCCCCAGCCCGGTAAATGGTGGCTCCCCTCCCCCATACGGTGTCCTCATCATATTTATAGCTGTTAGTCTTCATCTATGGTGTCAGTCTGAGCTCTGCCTCCTCCCCCACCATTCGCCTTCTCACTAGGTTTGCCCCCACCCGGCTCCCGTCCCCCTCTCAGCTTCGTTGTTCTCAGTCTCCGCGGATTACACCGGCTGCAGAAGACATTTTATACGTGAGGGGAGGAGGGGGCGCTCTGACACCGCACACACACCGCTCACCTCATAGTGCTTCATGTTTCCACCGGGCTCAGCCGCAGCCACACACACCTAGTTGTTACCTGCCAGACCTCCAACCACAGGCGGGGCAACAGATTGACTGGATGGCTGGGGGAGGGATACCCAATCAGGGCCTCGAGACTGGCATGGGAGGGCGTGTCCTTTTAGCGTCAAGCCAATTATCGCTCGCGTCCCCTTCTACGGGCGGAATTAGAGTAAGGTGCAGGGGCGGGGCACGTTCTGGTTGAGTGACACCGGGGGAGCCAATAGAGAGTCGGAGTGAAGGAGAAACGCTACCTGACCAATGGGCTGATGGGCTGCGTCAAGGGGCGGAGCACAGAGTGATGGGCAGCTGTCATGCTATTTGTAGCGCGGTGCTCGGACTCGGGGAAGGTGACAGGTGTCTTCTCACCGGGGATTCCGGGGGCGAGCGGAGATTTCCGGGAGGTCAAAATGAAAATTCCCTATGGTCACGTGGTTTGCATAGTGGTTCAGCACATCAGACCCACCTAGGATTCACATTCCGGTCCGTATGAAGGCTGACGAGTGGCCAACCCACCGGAGTCCACTGCACCCTATACACTGTGCTGTACATTACACGTTCCAGACCGCTGCACCCTATACACTGTGCTGTACATTACAGACCCCTGCACCCTATACACTGTGCTGTACATTACAGACCCCTGCACCCTATACGCTGTGCTGTACATTACAGACCCCTGCACCCTATACGCTGTGCTGTACATTACACGTTCCAGACCACTGCACCCTATACATTACACGCCCCAGACCGCTGCACCCTATACACTGTGCTGTACATTACACGTTCCAGACCGCTGCACCCTATACACTGTGCTGTACATTACACGCCCCAGACCGCTGCACCCTATACACTGCTGTACATTACACGCCCCAGACCGCTGCACCCTATACACTGTGCTGTACATTACAGACCCCTGCACCCTATACACTGTGCTGTACATTACAGACCCCTGCACCCTATACGCTGTGCTGTACATTACACGTTCCAGACCGCTGCACCCTATACACTGCTGTACATTACACGCCACAGACCGCTGCACCGCCCTATACACTGTGCTGTACATTACACGTTCCAGACCGCTGCACCCTATACACTGTGCTGTACATTACACGTTCCAGACCGCTGCACCCTATACACTGTGCTGTACATTACACGCCCCAGACCGCTGCACCCTATACACTGCTGTACATTACACGCCCCAGACCGCTGCACCCTATAAAATGCTACATGCTTCAGACCACTGCATTCTATATACTGTACTGTACATTACATGCTCCAGACCACTGCACCCTATACACTGTGCTGTACGAGGTGAGATCTTGCATGGAGCCCCAGTCCGAGGGAGACTGACAGTCATCTTTAGCCTCTTCAATTTTCTAACAATTGCTCCAACAGTTGATCTATTTTCACCAAGCTGCTTGGCAATTGCCCCGTAGCCCTTTCCAGCCTTGTGGAGGTCCACAATTTTGTCTCTGGTGTCTTTTGACAGCTCTTTGGTCTTGCCCATGGTAGTAGTTGGCGTCTGACTGACTGTGGGGTGGACAGGTGTCTTTAAAGAGCTCAGACAGGTGCTACTAAGTTAGATTAATGAGTGGAGTAGAGGTGGACTTTTTAAAGGCACAGTAACAGGTCTTTGAGAGCCAGAATTCTTGCTGTTTCTTAGGTGTTCAAATACTTATGTTCAGCAGTGCAAGGCAAATAAATTCTTTAAAAATCATAAAATGTGATTTCCTGAATTTTTTTTCAAAGTGTGGTGTGTGTGTTCTTGGTTTTGCCCCGTGTGAGATTCCCCCTCTGTATGATCCGATGACTGTTATCTCTGAAGGTGATAGTGAAGACAAAGGCCACATTTTGAGTGATCACCAGAACAGGAATAGAAGGGAAACCTTTCAATGGGCACACTAGTTCTGCTGACCCTGGTCACTACCAGAGCTTTCCTTCACTTCAAAGGGCTTCCTTCCACTTCTTAACTTGACTATGGGACAGGAAATTAGGAGAAATCTCCCCAGTGGGACACAATAAAAAAACCTGAAGGGCTAGAACTCCCCGCACTCTATTCAAAATAAAAACAAATCGTTATCCTTCAGTTCTGCTTTAAGGCGACGCTCTTATTAAACGATCCTTGGCTCTGTGAAGGAAGCTGCCATATGTTATATTACTGTGTGGTGTGACAGTGTGTATCACGGGCATTTTTTAAAGACATAGTAAACATAGGCAAGATTTAAATCAGGCACCCCCCCCATCTAAATTTGTCCCTCCCCTTCCTGCTGAAGAGTGCACAGGGTGACTTACACATAATAGGGATATGGGGAGCTGTTACAGGTGTCTCCCCACCTCTCCAAAGTGAGCTGTGTTCCATGGGCCCCCCACCCAAAGTGACTCCCATCACACAGTGTACAGCTATGCATTGCAGTGAAAATGCTGCTATATGAGGGTTCATGTAAACTTACGCGTGCGCATAGACAGAGAGCCCTAAATGCATAAAATCTGTACCCAAGGTTGTATGCCGAGGTGCATGGGCAAGTTTACTTATAGTGTTACTAAACCCCGGACCCTGCATTCACTATATCTAGTCTCCCACAGTACACAGAACATGGAAGTGCAATTATTTTAGTAAATAGAAATGGCTAAATACCTTTTCTCATCAGCAGTCAGAACAGTTGTGACTTCTATCAGTGTCCAACCAAGCACTAGTTAAAGCTTGTAGGAGGAGTTTTCATTCTCCCCTCAATGTCCTATGAGGCTGCAGGACCCCTGATGCTCTGTCTGGACCAGGGGCGGACTGACAATTTGGAAACTTGGGCACTGCCCGAGGGCCTGGGCTCAGTAGGGGGCCTCATGAGATGCCCCTGGTACCTTTTTCATAGGATTTTTTGAGTTTGGCCAAGGACACAGGGGCCCCATGATCCCCTATTGCCCGGGGGCCCCATGAGTTGTCAGTCCGCCCCTGGTCTGGACATTGTGGCCCTGTGCCAATCACATGCACCATCCTAAGAAAAAATAAAAAACCCTCTCTACAAGTACACACCAAACTGACCATGTGCAGAGTACCCCCAAGGCTCTGTTCTGTCAGCAGATGGCTTGGGGACTGTGGAAGAAGAGGAGGATCAGAAAATCAGGATCAAACATCCTTTTTACACAATGCAGAGGATTAACTCCTTAGGTTCCACAATGAGTATAACAAGCATGCTTTACTGCATATACAGACTGATTTTACTGTTGTGGGTTTAGTAACCTTTGAAGTGCTGGCCTAATCCTTTGTATAACAGCGTACAGTCATTCGTTTCAGTGAGAGCTCCACCATCTATTAGCCCGCATTCACACCTAAGAAAAGCTTATTTCTGGCAATTTCAAAGGTTTGGGGAGGTTTTTGCATACATAAAGCATTTTACAAGCTTTATCCAAGAACTTTTGCATGTGAATTAAGCTTTAGGCATTTATTTCCTTGGCCCAAGAAGAGCACAGAAGTTCTAGAGGAGAGCAGTTCTTCAAGTGCAAAATGCTTCTGTCTCACATTTATAGGCATTCCCAAAAATGCCTGATTAAGTTTAAAAAAATGTATAGTTTTTGTTGCTGCTGACTTCTATTTTTTCTAACAGGAGATTGGTGCTCTGCTTTAATAAATGAGGGAAGGGAACCAGCCATAATTGTCTGCAGCGCATGTCATGGACTGAAATTACATCCCCTACAGGCAGCATCGCTGCTGAGCATGGACTTATTGCCATCCAGAGCCTAATTATTTCACTGTGTTTTGTATTCTTTCACACATTTGATTATCTGTTTTTCCTAATAGTTTCACCCACCTTGTGTTGTTAATAAAGCTCCAAGATTACATTAAGTCTGGTTTATTGCAGAATAGGAATGTTTAGCTGCATGTTGAGTTACACACAGGGAAACGTAGCAAGGACAGAACACTCTGCGTCTTCTAATAGAAGGGCGGAACACCCTGCGTCTTCTAATAGAAGGACGGAACACCCTGCGTCTTCTAATGGAAGGACGGAACACCCTGCGTCTTCTAATGGAAGGGCAGAACACCCTGCGTCTTCTAATGGAAGGACAGAACACCCTGCGTCTTCTAATGGAAGGACGGAACACCCTGCATCTTCTAATGGAAGGACGGAACACTCTGCGTCTTCTAATAGAAGGGCGGAACACCCTGCGTCTTCTAATGCAAGGGCGGAACACCCTGCGTCTTCTAATGGAAGGGCGGAACACCCTGCGTCTTCTAATGGAAGGGCGGAACACCCTGTGTCTTCTAATGGAAGGGCGGAACATCCTGCATCTTCTAATGGAAGGGCAGAACACCCTGCGTCTTCTAATGGAAGGACAGAACACTCTGCGTCTTCTAATGGAAGGGCGGAACACCCTGCGTCTTCTAATGCAAGGGCGGAACACCCTGCGTCTTCTAGTGGAAGGGCGGAACACCCTGCGTCTTCTAATGGAAGGGCGGAACACCCTGCGTCTTCTAGTGGAAGGGCGGAACACCCTGCGTCTTCTAATGGAAGGGCAGAACACCCTGCATCTTCTAATGGAAGGGCAGAACACCCTGCATCTTCTAGTGGAAGGGCGGAACACCCTGCGTCTTCTAGTGGAAGGGCGGAACACCCTGCGTCTTCTAGTGGAAGGGCGGAACACCCTGCGTCTTCTAGTGGAAGGACGGAACACCCTGCGTCTTCTAGTGGAAGGACAGAACACTCTGCGTCTTCTAATGGAAGGGCGGAACACCCTGCGTCTTCTAATGGAAGGGCGGAACACCCTGCGTCTTCTAATGGAAGGGCGGAACACCCTGCGTCTTCTAATGGAAGGACGGAACACCCTGCGTCTTCTAATGGAAGGGCGGAACACCCTGCGTCTTCTAATGGAAGGGCGGAAACACCCTGCGTCTTCTAATGGAAGGGCGGAACACTCTGCGTCAGAACACCCTGAGTCTTCTAATGGAAGGGCAGAACACCCTGTGTCTTCTGATGGAAGGGCAGAACACCCTGCGTCTTCTAATGGAAGGGCAGAACACCCTGCGTCTTCTAGTGGAAGGGCAGAACACCCTGCGTCTTCTAGTGGAAGGGCAGAAACACCCTGCGTCTTCTAGTGGAAGGGCAGAACACCCTGCGTCTTCTAGTGGAAGGGCAGAACACCCTGCGTCTTCTAGTGGAAGGGCGGAACACCCTGCGTCTTCTAGTGGAAGGGCAGAACACCCTGCGTCTTCTAGTGGAAGGGCAGAACACTCTGCGTCTTCTAATGGAAGGGCAGAACACCCTGCATCTTCTAGTGGAAGGGCGGAACACCCTGCGTCTTCTAGTGGAAGGGCGGAACACCCTGCGTCTTCTAGTGGAAGGGCGGAACACCCTGCGTCTTCTAGTGGAAGGACGGAACACCCTGCGTCTTCTAGTGGAAGGACAGAACACTCTGCGTCTTCTAATGGAAGGGCGGAACACCCTGCGTCTTCTAATGGAAGGGCGGAACACCCTGCGTCTTCTAATGGAAGGGCGGAACACCCTGCGTCTTCTAATGGAAGGACGGAACACCCTGCGTCTTCTAATGGAAGGGCGGAACACCCTGCGTCTTCTAATGGAAGGGCGGAACACCCTGCGTCTTCTAATGGAAGGGCGGAACACTCTGCGTCAGAACACCCTGAGTCTTCTAATGGAAGGGCAGAACACCCTGTGTCTTCTGATGGAAGGGCAGAACACCCTGCGTCTTCTAATGGAAGGGCAGAACACCCTGCGTCTTCTAGTGGAAGGGCAGAACACCCTGCGTCTTCTAGTGGAAGGGCAGAACACCCTGCGTCTTCTAGTGGAAGGGCAGAACACCCTGCGTCTTCTAGTGGAAGGGCAGAACACCCTGCGTCTTCTAGTGGAAGGGCAGAACACCCTGCGTCTTCTAGTGGAAGGGCAGAACACCCTGCGTCTTCTAGTGGAAGGGCAGAACACTCTGCGTCTTCTAATGGAAGGACAGAACACTCTGCACCTTCTAAATGCCATCAAAGGTTTGATACCCAGACTTTGGAAACAAAAACGATGCCCTTATGTAGCCAGGTGCCCACTATGTTATAATGAAACTAGAGGACACTGACAAGGGGAACCATGGACTAAGCAGTCTCCCTCTTGTGCCCAGTATTCATGTGATTGCATTACTTCCTACCTACAGAGTGAGAGAGCTTACCTTCCTGAGTACAGCATGGAGCTTGGGACCTGTAGTCCCACTGCCACGCCACATTGTATTCCTGAGTGCTGTTTGAACTACACATACCAGGAGGCTGACCTAGCTAAAAGAATTGTGGGAGAGCCTATATATTTAACTGCATCTAGCAGGCTCTCTCTCTTGGCTCAAGACTTCAGACAGGACAGTTGGAGGCTGCTGTCGTGCACACAGCCACAGCAGACTATTGCCGCCTAGCTGGATACAGTGACATTCCAGGCAGTGGATCTTCCTATCTGTGTCGTAGATCACTAGACTGGGTGCCTCATCTGTTCATCTTCACTCTGAAACTTTCAAAATCCATCTCCTTGTTCCTGCTGCTGCTTTCACAGTGCTGAAAGCCTGCTGGGTGACCATCCTTCACCTCTCAGCTGAGATGCAAAAGCCAGCGCAACATATTCTGTTTCCTCAGAGGCTGCATCCACATTGGGATTGCTGAGCTGGTGGACACTCAACCTCTTTCTGCCATTCAACTGCTTACAGACACTGCATGCAGACATCGCATTTCAGCTTTGAAGAAACCCTTGCTTTTAGCAGTCCAGTTGTTTAGCTGCTGAACATTACTGGCCTATAACTATCCAAAAATTGTCCATGGGCCCCAACATTACTAGCAGAAGACACCTATTCCCCCAAACTGGAACTGTCTATACAGGTCATGAAATACTACTCATCCATTTAAGGAAGCACTTTACCTTTGTAATGTCATTACTAAACCTAAAAGGGTATCCCCCAGAGGGATTTGATGAGTTTCTAAGTCTCCCCGTCTTCAACCAGTGTTTCACTTTGACAGTTATCTACTGCAGCTGGGCAGGTCATACAGGCACCATAATGTACCTGTACATTGTGGCTTTCTTCTGGGTTCAGGGCACGCATGCTCTGGCTCTGTTCTGATTGAACACAGTGAGACATAGTCAGCAGGTCCTAGCCAATGATTCATGGGCAGGACCTGCTGATCTGCTGTGTCCAGTCCTAGCCCAGAGTTCTGTGTTGACAAACAACACAGGGCTCTGTACAGAGGGAACAATCTCGTTATGCATTTTACTACTATTGATGCTATGAATTACAGACAGGTGACTTTTATTAGCTTTGTGCTTATTTTATCTGGTGCATGCTGTCTCTCTCTGATAGTAATACTATAGACATGTTTAATGTCCTACTACTGTACCCAAGGCATCTCATTTGATTGATGGAATCTCATGTGGGTGACACATCTTTTATGTATAATACTTTTTATGCTTTGATAAAAGTTAATTATACAAAAAAAAAAAGACTGAGCATTGAAATGTGAACAGACACAATGATACAAAATGGGTTCTGCAGGGTAAGCCTAGTCAGACATAGAGAAACACACTACCTCTTTGAGAGGTAATACTGAATACAACATACATTGGGTATGCAGACTTTTTAGGCACAAATATCTACAATATAGCATATAAGAAAAAAAATAAAATTGTTATTGTTATGAAGGAAAAAACATCAATACAGTTCTGGCTTATCTGAGAAAGGTATTTTTCTCCCTTATACACAGGTTGTCCATACTGTATACAAGACACATATCTTGTACAGTTATGTGCATGGAAATTACCCAACGCGTTTCATCATTAGGGGCAGGAAAACACTCATATATCACACAAGAGAACTAGATACTTATCATCCAGGTGTTAAAACATTCCAGCCTATGGACCCAGAGAACGCTTGGACAGTTGTGTGAGAGAAGAACCACAGGCAGGGACCTAGGGAACATAGACATGTACTCAAAAGGCAATGCAATCAGGGGATGCAATGATACATAGAGCACACCAGAGTCCCAACCAGCCATACCAGTCACTCTGGGACCTGGCAAAGACAGTTTTTTATTCATTTTTTTATCTTTATAACCAGGGGCGGACTGACAACTCATGGGGCCCCCGGGCAATAGGGGATCATGGGGCCCCTGTATCCTTGCCCAAACGAAAAAAAAAAGCCTATGAAAAATGTACCAGGGGCATCTCATGGGGCCCCCTACTGACCCCGGGCCCTCGGGCAGCGCCTGAGTTTCCAAATGATCAGTTCGCCTCTGTTTATAACTATAAAAATGAATTTTTTTAATATCTTTTATGCTATATTGTAGATGTCTGTGCCTAAAAGTCCCATATACCCAATGACTGTTGTATTCAGTGAAATAAATTATAGGGATATTAGCACACATAATTCACCTCTCTCTCTATCTCCATCTTTACTTCAAATCCACGAATCCAGTCTATGAACCAGAAATATGATTTCCTTTAAGCCAATGCAATTTCTAATCAACACCATTCATGTGAACCAATTGTCACATTAATGAAAAAAACAGCAGTCTATTCTGGGCCTACACAAGGCAAGCTTCCAAGTACCATTCAGTGAACATGTGCAAATGATACCCCGTCTGAAACAGAATTGGCTGAATGCTTTGATGTGCTATTTGGCTATAGAAGATATGCATGGCCAGCAGTAGGAGTCAAATCGAATGCCATTAACAGAATGGTAGTTATTTCATGTATGTTTGTTATAGATAGATGTAATCAACCAGGCACATCAAGTCACCATTTGTAATGAGCACTGATACAAATCAACAGAATCATTTATGTAGATGAACCCCGTTCATGTTATAGGTCTCTATCACCTACCAAGTTTGTATGGAAAATTCACCAAAACACATGCAGTAAAACCAATGATGATGCCCAACAGCCAACAGTAACCAATCCAAAATTATCTCTAAAGTGATCCACAGGCTGCAATCTAAACGTCATTTCACATACTGTCTAGTTATAGGAAATCTGTGTCTTGTGCACCATTACCCCTCTGTCAGGCATTGTTTCATCTTGAAGCTCGGTATTAAATCCCATAACTTTCATATGAAATAAAATGATAAATAGAGGAAATCTGCTAAAATTATTTAATATAATTTGATTATTTAATATAAATGCACCTGTTGCTAATTTAAGTTGGCTAAACCCTTCCCATGCCAGCCTCCAGAACCCCAATTATCTGGATGCTGGAGGCTCTGTGGGGTCTCACCTAGAAGCTCCTGCTCTGAAGATCTAGACCAGAGGTCTCCAAACTTTCAAAACTTTCAAGCCCAGTTTACTGTCCTTCAAACTTTAGGGGGGCCTAACTGTGCCCATTGGGAGCAGAAAAGGTCCCGTAAGTGGGGAAAAACAATGCCACCTCTGGCCCCCAGGCCACAATTTGAAGACCACTGATCTAGAGGAAGGAGATAAATGGTTTTATATATAAAGATATCAATTAAAACGTGTTTTCATTATTAAGAGAACTGTTAAAGTTTTTATATTCAAATAATATGCAATGGCATTACAGCCAATAGAAATTATAAATATATAGTGAAGCGCTATAAATCAAATCTAACACATGTGCAATATTCTCGTGCTATATAATGCTAGTCGTGCCAACACAATAGTGCTCAGTGGAAAAAATTGCAAAAAATACAATTAAATGTTCAACAATATAAAGTGAAAAAAACATTAAAAAATGTGTATAATTCTAAAAAATTGTGTTAGTGGTTCTAAAGAAAAAGGGAATCACATCCCTTGCTGGTTTATCAATATCTAGTCTAAACACACTGTATATAAATAAACATTAAATGATCAAAAAAAGGAAAACATCTGTGTTATTTTGAAACATAAAGTCCATGCAAGTGAAATTGTGCAAACGTGATCTTCACGCCAGTGAAAAAGAAAAAAGATCCTCAAATGGCAGCAATGCCTTCTCACCTCCACACACTGACCTGCACAAGGCCAAAAGGCTATGATTATCAATACCGGATCCTCTCAATTCCGCTCCTCATCACAGGGACTATGGGATTGAATATAGACTTCTCCCCAGCACACCTTATCCACTCCACCTCCACTTAAGGCCACATACATGAGATACAAAACAAAGATCCTTCCATAGTGCAGTAATCTTTTTATTTGAAAGTGGATAAACTTGATATTGCACTCACATGTATTCCCAGTAAGAAACTCCTGTCACCACATCCTATGGGTCTACTGCATGGTTACTGGGTGTAGCAATATGGCCGCTGCGTCCGGAAGTGCGTCACCTCGTACCGGAAATGGCATACTGGTCGGTATAGCTAAAACTAAATTGAAATTTGACATCAAAATTAAAACTGTAGTAAATCAACCCAAAAAATTAAAATGAAACTGAAGGCAAAACTTTTTTCAATTTTGGGTAGGGATTAGAAGCCCTGTCAGGTTGCTATCTGTGCCCCCCATTAGGGAGATTCACCCTCTGTATTTCTCTTGTTTCCTGTTATCACCAAACATGAAAGTGAAAGAAAATCTGTTATCATTCCGGATATCAGATATACAGTATGAATACTGGGTCTTTTTCCATCTGACTTTACCTTTCAGTCTGGCCTTTTGACGGTGCATAGGAAGGAAATAGAATTAGAGGAGAAAGGAAAGACACTAACAGCAAAGAAAGAAAAGAAAAAGGCAGGGAGAAAGGAGATAGAACATACAGCAAGGAAATACAAGGAAGCTTAGGAAGAATGAACCAATACCTAGAACAGGGAAGGAAATAGAGAAAAGGAAGACAGAGTGAAAAAAATAAAGAGAAATGTAGGAAGAAATGAGACAGGTAGCAAAAAGGGAAAGAGATGGAGAGTATGGAATGAATGAAGAAAACAAACAGATATGGAGGAAATGAAAGTACTGAAGAGCAAAGAAGGAAGGAACTAAAAAAGGCCAAGAAAGGAAGGGTAGAGACACAAAGTAAAGACTAAAGGGAAAAAAGAACGAGAGCACACAATGAAGGAAACATACAAAGATCAGGGAGAAAGAGAGAAATGAAGAAGACACATAGCAAGGAAAGACTAAAAAAGAAAGCATAGGGAAAGGGATAAAAAGAGACAAGGAGGAAGGAAGGAAAGAGAGAAAGAGAGAGAGAGAGAGAGAGAGAAAAAGAAAGAAAGAGAAAGAAAGAAAGAGCCTTAGAAGGTAAAGATGAAGGAGGGGGATCAAACTTAGGAGGTAAATGTATGAGAGAATAATATTTAGGAGGTAAAGACAGAGAGGATAAAGTTTAATAGGTATAGATAAGGGGGGTAAAGTTTAGGAGGTCAAGATTGGAGGGATAAGGTTTAGGAGGTAAAGATCGAAAGGGGTATAAAGTTTAGGAGGTAAAGACGGGGGAATCAAATTTAGTAAGTAAAGATGGGGAGGGGTAATGTTTAGGAGGTAAAGATGGGTGGATAAAGTTTAGGAGTTAAATATGGGGAGGAGTTATGTTTAGGATCTAAAAATAGGGGGTAAGGTTTTGGAGGTAAACACAGGGGTAATCAAGATTAGGATGCAAACATTGGGAGGAATCAATGACCTGTTGTGAATGGGCCCTAAAATGAGTGAGCTGCCAATATGTCTTATTAGCTTAAAATGTTGCGAAACCCAGGACCCTGCTTTCACTATATCCGATATCCCACAGTACAACATGGAAATGAAATTATTTTAGTAAATAAAAACTGCTAAATACCTTTTCTCGTCAGCAGTATATAGTGGTCTTGTGACTTCTATCAGTGTCCAGCCAAGCAGTGGTTAAAGATTGTAGGAGGAGTTTTCATTCTGCTCTGACCAGGGGCAGACTGACCATTCGAGCACTCGGGCACTGCCCGAGGGCCTGGGGTCAGTAGGGGGCACCATGAAATGCCCCTGGTATCTTTTTCATAGGCTTTTTTGAGTGTTGGCAAGGACACAGGGGCCCCATGATCCCCTATTGCCCGGGGGCCCCATGAGTTGTCAGTTCGCCCCTGGCTCTGACTGTCCTATGAAGCTGCATGACCCCTGACTCTCTGTCTGGACAGTGCTGATTGGTCCTGTGCTGATTACATGCACCCTCCAAAAAAACCCCAAAAACTCTTAGCAATATACACCAAACTGAGCATGTGCGGAGTGCCTCCTAGGGCTCTGTACTATCAGCAGATGAATTGGGGACTGGAGTATAAGGGGAAGATCAGAGAAGACAGGATTGAAGTGGTATTAAGGTCTAATTTTAACATTGTGCCTATAATAACACTTACCTGTAGGTACTGTAAATATATCCTAACCGTGCACTGTGTAGTAAATACCTGTGTAGAGCACCGACACATGCACTCTGAAGGAACGACATGCCCGTGCCTTTCCTTTAGACCTGTGTGCTGTAAGTGATGTCATCGCAGCTCAGCCATTCAAGTTGCCAGAGTCCACAATCCTGATGAGGGACTGAGAGAAAATGGGAGCCCTGTCAGCGGTGCATTGTGGCATTTTACAACAGAGGTGCATTGCCTTAGTATGTTGTGGTACCATTTGTGTGTGTTGCAGTAACATGCATGGTAGCAGCACTGGTGTTACTACAAAGCGGAAGGGTGAATGGACCCTCAGTGAAAGTCTTTTAATATGTGTGAACATGTAAGACAGATGAGACACATTGGTATGTGTGTCATAATATTTCTGCACCCCTATCCTTGTTGTGTCATTCAGCTGTAACCTCTGCCTTGATGCTCTGTTTATCAACCTATCCTTCACCAATGTCTTCCTCCACCAGCACCATGTCCTTCACAGATTCCTTCCTCTTCTGTCCAGCCACATCCTTTCCTTCTTGCAACTTGTCCTTCACCATCAAATCTTTATTTGGCCATCATCCTGCCCCCCCCCCCCCCCGTCCTCATTAGTATGTACACATCACCTGTCTCTTCCCCCACCAGCCTTCTGTCCCTTGATGCTGACCACTTCCTTTACCCACAACCAGGGCGGACTGACAACTCATGGGGCCCTTGGCAATAGGGGATCATGGGGCCCCTGTGTCCTTGCCCACACTCAAACTACACCCAAAAAAGCCTATGAAAGGTACCAGGGGCATCTCATGGGGCCCCCTACTGACCCCAGGCCCTCGGGCACTGCCCGAGTTCCCAAATGGTTAGTCCACCCCTGCCCACAACCCATCCCTGGTGGTCAGCTCTTTACTCAGCCTGTCCCTAGCTGAATTATTCCTCAGTAGTTTGCCAACAACATGTAAACTTTTTCTGGCACTGGCAGCATATCCCTCCTATTTTCACTGAAAACCCTCCACCCTCTTAGACATAAAAAAAATTAAAATTCTGACTTCAATCCTTCAAGCTCTCAATATGTCAAATGAATTGTGATGTAATATTTATCTTTCACCACTAGATGTCTCAACCTGCTGGGCAGTGAATCTCAATGATTACATTTTGGATACATAGGGCATGGATTTGTTACAAGATTTGATACAAGTATCATCATTGTATCTTTGATGTTGAGTTGGGAGATTAGCAAAGATGGACATAGACAAAAATGTGCTGATGTTTATTTGCGCACTGATTTCGAGCTTTATGCAAATAAATAAAAGTGCTGCACGACAATTTCTTAAAGTGTTACTAAACCCACAACAGTAAAATCAGTCTGTATATGCAGTAAAGCATGCTTGTTATACTCACTGTGGAACCTAAGGGGTTAATCCTCTGCATTGTGTAAAAACACTGTTTGATGCTGACTTCTCTGATCCTCCCAGTGGCGGACTGGCCATATGGAAACTCGGGCACTGCCCGAGGGCCAAGGGTCAGTAGGGGGCCCCATGAGATGCCCCTGGTACCTTTTTCATAGGCTTTTTTGAGTTTGGGCAAGGACACAGGAGCCCCATGATCCCCTATTGCCTGGGGGGCCCATGAGTTGTCAGTCCGACCCTTGATCCTCCCCATCTTCCAGTGCTCCCCTCTTATCTCCTGATAAGACATATTATGTGGAGACACTCTGCATATGCTCAGTTTGGTGTGTATTGCTAGAGAGGTTGTTTTTTTTTTTTCCTTTCTTGGGAGAGTGAATGTGATCAGCATACAGCCAATCAGCACTGTTCAGACAGAGGTCAGGGGTTCTGCATCCTCCTAGAGAAAACTCCTCCTACAAGCTTTAACCAATGCTCGGCTGGACACTGATAGAAGTCACAAGACTGCTGATGAGAAAAGGTATTTAGCAGATTATATTTACTAAAATAATTGCATTTCCATGTTCTGTGTACTATGGGAGACCAGATATACTGAATGCAGGGTCCTGGGTTTAGTAACACTTTAAAGTCGAATTCCAAATACAGAAATGTTTACATTGGTCCAACAAGTTTTTATGTGCCATAACTGTGGGATCCTTGTGGAAGCTGGAAATGACTCTAATGGGCACCATTACTACTGTGATTACTGCTAGTTTCTGGGTCCTGACACAAGTGGCAGTCCTGCTGCTTACTGAACACAGGAGGTTGTCCGCTCAGTGCGGGTGCCATTCAGAGAAAACCTTTTATTTTGTCAATGACACATTGGAGGTTATTTACTAAAACTGGGGAGTATACAATCTGGAGCAACTCTGTATATCAACCAATGAGCTTCCAAGTTTTATTTGCAAAGGTTAATTGAACAAACTGAAGTTAGAGGCTGATTGGCTACCATGCACAGCTGCACCAGATTCTGAGTACTCCAGTGTTAGTAAATCTACCTGAGGGTGTGCAGACACAGGGCAGCTTATGACTGAATTCTTTAACATATGACATGATATAAAAGACCTGTAACATGAAATATGTTCTACTATTTTCAATTTTGTACATATATATATATATATATTATTTTTTTTTAATTATATATTTATTTTTATTTGTATAGACAAGGGTTCTTCTAGCTCAATAAAAAAGGAAAAAAAAAAAGGGTTCAAAAATCAACTCGCCAGCCAGCTTTAAGGGTTCTTGTAGCACTGATGTGGATTTGCTGGCTGCTTGCTGATCAAGCACATGGCGACATGCTGTCTTCACTTATCTGTAAATGTGTATTTACCTGTATTTCACAATCATATCAATGTCCTTGTTTTTATAAGAGATGTTGTTTTGAGCCCTATTTGAGTTTTTTAAAGTATGTTTAATATATAGCACTTTTTTAGGTGATTGTACCCTAACAAATCATCTTATACTGAATGTATTCTTTTCATTTTCCAATGATGTAGACTACTTCTATAACTTAAAAGTCCCATTTTTTTCTCAATACTATATGGTTTTTCCACTTCTAATGCAGCTTGCAGACTGACGGTGGCCATACATGTATCAATGTGACTGTGAAATAGAGCAATCATGTTCATGAAATAAACGTCATAAAAAGATTTTTTTGAAAGTCAATTTAACTGGAATTAGAGATCTGGTTGCTTTCATATCAATCGTTGCTTGTGGCTGTAATGGCTACAGGTTCACTTTAAGATTGTGAAGGTAGGCTGATAGGACTGAAGAGTTGCAAAGTGTTCCAAAATCCCTTCCATCCAAATATTTGGACGGTTCTGATTTAATGTATAAACTTCTATAATCCCCTCATTTTGGCCTTCACAGTAGGGACAATGTGGAATGTCTACTAGTTATTTTGAGCATAGTAATAAGATCTATTTCTATATATAGAGTTTCTGGAGAATATAAAAAGCAGGCGCATAATTCTCATTCTTTACTGGATATTGTCACTGTTGCATATGTTACATGTATGCAGTGGAAAGTGAGTCATATGCATTGTAATCGTAAGCTTTAAATATCTAATACATTGCCTATTTCTGATATTTATTTTCCTGTTAACCACAAAATTATGATGGATAATGGTAAATGAAAAATTATCCGCCATCTTTAATGATGAAATGCATTTATTTGGAAAAACATGGGATCCATAGATATGCTATATCTCTGGAACACACAGGATGGTTGAAGGGGTGTTATTCACCTCTTCATATTTCTCCCTCTCGCTCGTGTTTCACTTTCTTCCTTCTTCTCTTTACTTGTATTCATTTACATAAGTATACTTAAAGTGGAACTGCACTGCATCTGAACTCTAAAAACCAAAAATGTTATTTCATTTATTTTTAATATTCAAAACAAACTCCTCCATCCATCCATGTCTCTATGCTTTAATTTACTGAGAAATCATTTTTGAAAAACACCTTCTGGATTTTCTGGCAGGGGACTTTTTAGTAAGTGCAGATGATTAATTTAGCACTTCCTGGAATCCATCTGCCCTTAGCTCAGGCACTGCCTGAGCTTAGAACCTTCCCTTATCTCCTGAAGACTGCAGGGATGTATGATATAATTTTTCTAGGCATGGAAACCAGGATGTAACTGAAGAAATACATAAAAAAAGTTTAAGACAAGTAAATATGATATACCTACCTATCTATTTACTAATGCTAGCAGCATAAGGATTCAAAATATTCCATGGTGATTGAGAGTGTGAAGTTCCACTTTAAAGCGATATTAAAGGCTTGGGTTTTTTTAAGTAACAGACAAGTTATACTTACCTGCTCTGTGCACAGAGAAGCCCTGATCCTCCTCTTCTTCTTGGGTCCCCTGCTGGCGCCCCAGTCTCCTCCCCACTGCACTTGTGCATGCTCACTCCCGACAGAGCACAGATCAGCCCCACCCCCTGCTCCCTCCTCATTGGCTGTGATTGACAGCAGTGGGAGCCAATGGCTCCTGCTGATGTGTCTCAGCCAATGATGAGAGACAGACCCAAGAGAGCCGAGGCTCCCATGCAGAGTGCTGAATCAAGATCAGGCTCAGGTAAGAATTAGAGGGGCCTGCTGCACACAAACGTTTTTTTTTATCTTCATGCATAGAATGCATGAAGGTAAAAAAAACCTTTAGCCTTTTACAACCACTTTAAATTTTTACACATTTTGAGAGCGGTCCTTAGGGCCTGGTGGTTGCACTTTCCTTTAGAATCCCTAGTTTGGTCGCCCCACACCCTGTGAAGGCTGAACCCCTTATTAAAAGAATTTTCTGTTCCCTGACCCCCAGGTTTGGGCATCAAAAAATGTTAAGTATTTGCAGCAGATCTGTGAGGGTGGCACGCTCAGAACATTTGATTCCTTAAAAGCTCAAAATGCTCTTCCCAACTCCTATTTTTTTTAGATACATTCAACTACGTCACGCTTTTTATCGACAATTTCAGGGCAGTCCAATACAGTTCCTGGAGTTAGGGCGTGAGTCCATGTTATGGGATGATTCCCTGAAGAAACCCCTCTCCTCTATTTACAAAGCCTTGCAACAGTCAGTACATATTGGTCTTGAGCACCTTTTTACGCAAAGGCGCGTGGAGGTGCCTGATTTGGACTCTGAGGATTGGGAGGACATATGGGAGCATCCTGTGCAGCAATTGGCTTCTACTCATGACCAATTTATTCAGTTTACGATTCTACATAGAATATATTATACTCCTCAGACGCTGCACCGGATGTTTCCAGCCCACCCTTCTAGATGTTGGCATTGCAACATTTCTACATATCTTCTGGAGCTGCCCTGTTATCCAGAGGTACTGGACAAATGTAGTAGACAATATATCCTCTATACAGAGGCGGACTGACCATTTGAAAACTCGGGCACTGCCCGAGGGCCCGGGGTCAGTGGGGGCCCCATGAGATGCCCCTGGTACCTTTTTTATAGGCTTTTTTGAGTTTGGGCAAGGACACAGGGGCCCCATGATCCTCTATTGCCCGGGGGCCCCATGAGTTGTCAGTCTGCCCCTGCCTCTATAACTACGGTTTTTGTACCACTGTCTATTGAGGTTTGTCTGTTGAGTTTGGTTCAGGCCTTAGCTATCTCTCGCACCATGAGAACCTTGATTGGTTTCTTGCTTTTTTTTATGCTCGTAAAGCGATACTCTTAAAGTGAAAGTCCCCTCATGCCCCCACATCCAGTTTCTGGAAACATTTGGTTAATACAGTCCTCCCTCTATATAAATATACTTATGAATCTAGGGGGTGTTCGCTAAATTTTCTAAGGTGTGGCATATCTGGATTGATTCTTCCAAATCAGTCCCTTCCAGCTCTGATTAGGATCAAGTTACAGTTCTCTATCCCTTGTCGCGGATTTTTTGCTCAGTGTGGGCCGCCAGTAATCTTCCTCTGTGGGAATTATCTTCTGCCATATCTAAGCCCTGTGATATCATTGGGTGCGGTTGTTGTCTGTTTGTTGTTGTTAACCTTATCTGTGTGTTATGTTTCTCTTTTTGTTTGTTTTGTTATTATTTGTGACTTGATCAAGCCTGGGTATGCCCAATAGGCTTTGTTTTGTATTCTCCACTTTATAAGTCAATAAAGAGAATTTTCAAAAAACATTTCTACACAGCGTAAGGTAAAAGCTTTCACATTTCAGAGTTAAAATCATACACAATTCAAAAACAAAGATAAAGGAATATAGAAACAACTCCAGAAGTGGGCATATCCCATTGACTAGGAAACCACTATAAAATGTTTGCCTACAATCAGAAATGTATAAAAGTATGGATGGTAGATATTACATGTGACCTTTTGTTTCTAAAAAAAAATGTAATAAAAACTATGGAAAAGAAAGAAAAATTATGTCTAAAAATAAAATGACTTAAAAATTAAAAAGAACACATTAGTGATCATTATTAAATGCTTCTAAATTGGGACTATTAATCAGAACTGGGTCTTATGAGTTAAAATGACACTTGGTTCTGCCATGAACATTTATCATTCTAGCATTTCTATCCTGAGTTTTAGGAGAACTGAATTACACTTCTATCCTGTAGTGCCCAGAGAAGACGGGGTACTTGCAGGAGTGATTTATGGAGGTGTTGTTGGTATAGGAAAAGGAGAAGGAATGAACGCTGGAGCTGCTGGATATGTCAGGATGGGAATAAAATTACAGGCCTGGCAAACATATTAATATCATCATTACTTCTGATATTCTTTGGAGTCCAGCAGTGTTTGCCAACCTGCACAGAGGACATCAAGCTGATGAAAAGCAGCTTCAGAATGTGGAGTGGAGGCTCCATGGTATGTGGTATGTTATAATTTGGGCTGTGGTCGTGGGAGAGGTGAATCATGCTTGTCTTACATTCACTGTATCCTTCTTGAAAGTATCTAAACACTAACTGAAGGACAATTAGTAGCAAAAGTCCTAATAAACAATCACCTTTTTATAAAATTACCTTTATATGAAAGAATAACTGAACTCTGGAAGCTGTGTCCAAAAAAGGACAGTTAGAGGGTGGAAGACCAGTCAATAGTATTACTTATGGTCTTACT